GCTTGCAACTGCAGTGGACTACCTGCAACACACTTTCAGGGGCAGGATTTATAGTCATCCAGGTCACTGTTAACTCCCCATCCTCGAGGTGCCATCCATTGCCAACGGGTGAAGGGGCACACATTATACCTTTCAGAGAATGTCTCATTATGGCTGCTTGGTAGTTTGCCCTTTTGCAGTGTTGGTGCAGGGCATCACTTGTCGGGGGCATGGATAGTTCTGGCAAAGCAGACGATGCCATGCAGAATGCTTTGTATCTTGCATCGTTCACATTTTCGGCAGATGACTGGCCATACAGGTGGCACACATATTTGCAAAGTATGTCAAAGGTAGACTGGTCCAGCTTAAAACTGCTACCCAGACTTGTAAATGCTTTCAGGTATTCCTCTTTCTCGCAAGCAACAGAAAATGCCTTTCTTTTGCCTTTGCCATAAAAAGCACTTGTAGAGTCACAACCTGAGAAGGTATGGATCCCAATAAGTGCCAAACACACAGTGGTGCCAAGAGCTGATGACACCTTAGCTAAATCAATGATCCTTGTTTTGTTGCCAACCCCCGTGAAAAAATACAACCTACATGGCAAATCTGGCTGCAGACTTAAAGCAATTACTGCCACATCAGTATCACGGCTCTTGATGACTAAAGTTTGATGTTCATGTGCAGCATGTTGTGCATGTAAAAACAACCTGGTGTCACATTCCTCATGATCACGTCAGATCTTCAACAGCACTGAGAGTCTGTGAACCCTGCATTACGGTCACGCAGTGACACAGGTCTCCATGTGCTATGTACAAGCTTAAGTCCTTGCCCACAGTGGTAAGATCAGCATCTTGCCACACAACATAGAGGAATTCTGCCAGTGCCTCTTTGTTTGTTCCATCTGATAGAAACTTTTTCCATTGTGTTGGTGTCTTCTGATCCAGTCCATACATTTTCACCAGTTGTGTACCACCACCAGCTCTACGTGACCGTTCTAGATTTTTAATACTCATTTCCGGATACTGGTCAATCACAAAGTCTATCCATGTACAGCTGTGCTTCAGAGCTTGACTATGTACTGCAGTATGGCCTCGGCGAGCTCTCCAAAGGTACTTGGTATGGACCAAATGGCTTGAATGACCGCCATGCCATCGAAGAGAATAGCTCCATCTGCTGGAACTTTGTCAACTAAACATTCTCCACATTTGGTTTCCAATAAATCCAAAAGAGCTGATTTGTTTGTTTTAGCAAGTGAACCGTCAGCACTGGCTAAAGGATATGACACCGTTCCCAAGGAGTAGGACAGAATTTCCCGCAGGTCTATCTTTCTACTTTGACCTATGACGAGTAGTCTGGAAAATAGCTTCTTTTCGGCACGCAGAATCACTTCCTTGCCTGCTGCCGATTTCTTTTTTGTCTTTGCTTGGTCACTGAAGGTCTTTAGTTTTTGTGTTTTGATGGGAGCAAATATATCAACTGATGGTGATAACAGTCTTTGGTCCATAAACTCTTTGACAGCATTTTCCCCTTTTTCCAGAGCTGTGAGCAAATCCCTCATGATTTCTTCAGCTGCGACTGTCCCAGAGCTAAGACACACAGTGCCATCTTGGTGTGTGTCAAAAGGATTTAGCATGGAATCTAGGGTGGAAATTATTCTGGTCACAGCCTTTTCATCGGCATGAATTCGTGTGCTGTCATGGTCTTTACGTTTCCTTATATCAGGAGATTTACCTGCCATTGCCTCACATTGTCTTGCTATGGCTGCTCTTTCATGTTGCAACAATATCCAGCGATATACTGCAGCTCGATTCTGTGTTATTCCTGTCCAACCACCCTTTGTCTTGGAATCTCTGTTGCATGTTTGCTCAATGGCCTGGTCACAAGCAATCGAGGCAAATCCATGGGCACTTTGATGTTGGACAGTCCACTGGCCTTTAACACCGAGTTCGCTGTGGCAAGAAGGATGTGTGAGGGGCAAATTGACCATTTCCAGCCAGTATGAAGGTAAATACCTAGCATAATTTACATGATCGTATGCAAAAAACCACGGCATCATCAAGCGTACTGTTGACAGGTGAAGCTGCCAGTCTGATTCTCGTGTTTCTCTCACAAACAGAAGGAGTATCTGTACCATGTCGATGTACGAACTCCAGAAGGCAAACGTTGGGTTTTCTGCACTTCTTCTTTTCACAAAGTCTACATATTTTGAACACATTTTGTCAAATTTTTCATTTGCACACAAAACATCCATGGTTCTGTCCTGGAATGCACATTTGATTTCACTGATGACATCCATACACTAATTTCTCTCCTCTGGTGGCAAAGAGTCTAAGAAGGTGAGAAATCTGATGCGTTGCAGACTCTCATACAGAAGTTTGTGTGCCCTCATGCTGCGGTTGTAGTGATGACCACTGATCACTCCATTGATGGATCCTGGGGCAACAACTTCGGACTCAATGAGTATGTCTTGCAGTCCTGCATCTCCAAACTTTTTTCCAAGAATGCCCAGGTAGGACATGCATGTGTGAAATTTAATTAGATGTAGATAACTTGACTACTTAAATTTGTAAGGGAATTAATTATTATTAATTCATTCAGGTTTTGATAGGACTCGGGTCTGAAAATACGAAGTTCACCTGATTAAACCGATTTCAAATTTGTTATGTTACACTTTAAATCAAGGGTCGTCCAGCGAGCCGTGACCTCAGTATATTTTAACAAATTGACTATGTATTCTCCTGGCCACGGATAAATACGTTCTTTGATAATTTGTAAGCTCTTAGAGAGGTAACGTTGATCTTGGCAAAAGTTTTGACCTGGAAATTATGACACCAAACCAAGGATTCTTTATAAATGAAACATGAATTTTATTGGCTACTCTAGAATACATCAAAACTATGCTAAAACACACATACACACAAACAGATTATTAGAATGAGAGTTGACGAAGTTCTTATGAAGTTTCAAACTTCTAACACTCGTTTTCACGAGTGGCTTAAATTCACCTGAGAGAATTCACAAACAGAGAATTTTAGCTTATGTTTACTGCTTAAAGTAGCTCGACACCAGTTCAGCAGAGATAAGATTTTGTTCGTTTACTTGCGTTCTGCTTGGTTGACAGCTGAAAAGCTGAGATGAACCCCGGAGCTTTCGGATTGGTCGCTGAGGTGACGTTTGGATGACGTCGCTGATGGATGCTGGGGCAACAACTTCGGACTCAATGAGTATGTCTTGCAGTCCTGCATCTCCAAACCTTTTTCCTAGAATGCTCAGGTAGGACATGCATGTGTGAAATTCACCTAGTCTAATCACTATACGCTGAGTAAAGTCATTGTCTTTCCAGCGGATTTGCTGAGCTTTGGCATATATAGCTTGGTCAAAAACTAACACTATATGGTCCAGTTCTAGCTGATCAGCAATTTGGACACTTCGCTTCAGAATTGTGTTTACTGTTGACATCTCTGTCGGTGAAGCCTCAATGACTGGAAGATAATACAGTGCTGACTTTTGCAGAGTGCCATCACCTTTAAGCAATGTATGGAAACCTGTCCAGCTTGGGATTGTGCATCTTTCAGCATCTATGGACTTTAAAACAACATATGCAAGTTCAGTTTGTGCAGCAGACATGGTGTTCAATTTGTATGTGTCTACCTGTAATGGAATACTTTCATGATGAAACAAGTTCTGTGTTCCTTGTCTTTTAGACTGATAGTACTGTTCGATAGGGATGCAAGGGGGTGCTTTGAATGAGGAAACTCCCTTCTGTAGTGGTTGTCTGTTTGTTGTTGACACAGGTTCAACTACAGAACTTTGCAGCATAATCCCATTTGTGTGGTGAGTAGTTCCACAACCTGATAGTGTCTCCTCCCCAAAGTCAGTATTGTCCCACACAAGTATTGTAGGAACCTTCTTTGAGAATCCCTTTGGTATTTTGTCTCTGCCCTCTACTAGTTGAAGTTGGGCAAGGCTACTGTCTAGACTGACAACTGTGTCCCATGATGCACAATGTCCTAGTCGATTTAGAAGTGACACAATTTGTGATGAACCTGTTAAATGGCGAATGGTTAGACCAAGACACAATGATTTCGGTGTCTGCCTTCGGCCCTTAGATGCGAGATATACAATGTCTTGACAAATAGATATCACTTTTAGGTTCAAATCATCTGCACAATGTCCTAGTCTATTTAGAAGTGACACAATTTGTGATGAACCTGTTAAATGGCGAACGGTTAGACCAAGACACAATGATTTAGGTGTCTGCCTTCGGCCCTTAGATGCGAGATACACAATGTCTTGACAAATAGATATCACTTTTAGGTTCAAATCATCTGGAATATCAACATAATGGGCCAGTGTTGGTTCCTCAGTTGCACCAATAATCCAGGAAATCAGATTGTACAGTTTGAGTGGCACAACAGATTTTGCTTCACTCACATTTAAATTATCAGACGTGGGTGGCCATGGACATGTCATACCGGGAGAGTCACATAGAAGCATCTTTAATATCAATGCTGCACTATAAAGTGTCCTTGTGTCCTCTGTAGTATTGATAGAGGCCACTGAGGTTTGTCTTTGCGGACCAGATGTTGTATTTGTTATGTTTTCACCATCACTTTGGCTAGTTACCTCAGTTGACTCTGTTGTTTCTGTACCTGATGGATGAGGTAGCCTGTCTATCAGCTTGTCTGCAGACAGTGTCTCAACAAAAACCAGCTCACTGATGTTGCGCTTGTTGGGCGAGTGAAACACCAGCTGGGGGAAATCACGGATCAACCTCCTCTTCAATTTATCCTGCCTTAAACAAGATAAAACGAAAGATGATCACAACGGTATAAATAAAGATATATTTACACTGAAAACAACTGGGTTAAACTCTGCCCTCTACTAGTTGAAGTTGGGCAAGGCTACTGTCTAGACTGACAACTGTGTCCCATGATGCACAATGTCCTAGTCTATTTAGAAGTGACACAATTTGTGATGAACCTGTTAAATGGCGAACAGTTAGACCAAGACACAATGATTTAGGTGTCTGCCTTCGGCCCTTAGATGCGAGATACACAATGTCTTGACAAATAGATATCACTTTTAGGTTCAAATCATCTGGAATATCAACATAATGGGCCAGTGTTGGTTCCTCAGTTGCACCAATAATCCAGGAAATCAGATTGTACAGTTCGAGTGGCACAACAGATTTTGCTTCACTCACATTTAAATTATCAGACGTGGGTGGCCATGGACATGTCATACCGGGAGAGTCACATAGAAGCATCTTTAATATCAGTGCTGCACTATAAAGTGTCCTTGTGTCCTCTGTAGTATTGATAGAGGCCACTGAGGTTTGTCTTTGCGGAACAGATGTTGTATTTGTTATGTTTTCACCATCACTTTGGCTAGTTACCTCAGTTGACTCTGTTGTTTCTGTACCTGATGGATGAGGTAGCCTGTCTATCAGCTTGTCTGCAGACAGTGTCTCAACAAAAACCAGCTCACTGATGTTGCGCTTGTTGGGCGAGTGAAACACCAGCTGGGGGAAATCACGGATCAACCTCCTCTTCAATTTATCCTGCCTTAAACATGATACAACGAAAGATGATCACAACGGTATAAATAAAGATATATTTACACTGTGTATCAGCTTTAAAGGGGTCATATGATGTTGCTAAACACGGCGGCCTAGAGTGAGCAGAGGCCGGGGGCTAGAGTGAGGAACGGCCGGAGGGCTAGAGTGAGTGGAGGCCGGTGGGCTTGAGAACGGCACGGCCGGCAGATTCGACGAAGGAGCGTCCGGAGGAGGTAGGCGTGGCTGACTCTTAACTTTTATAAAGAATATCTCTTTGGATTTGAGACTTTAGTCTTTGCAACTTTACAGATCTTCTTTATGCACCAAGAGCTTGTAATACTCCAAAGAGAAAGGAAAAATTGAAATCGCATCATATGACCCCTTTAACACGTTATATAATGATTATCATTATTATAAATTCCATTTTTGTAAGAAAAAATTAAAATGTTGCATAAACATTCTTTCCAAAGCTGCGTATTTAAAAGAAACTTGTGGTATTTAAATTACCTGTAGTTTGAAGCATCAAGATCTTCTTGTTTTTTCACGAGATTTAAAAAGATTCTTCTTAGCTGCATCATTGTCAGCACCTCTTGGTTTACAATTATTCTATGGCGGATGATCCTCTCACAGAAGATCTTGTAGCTGGCATCGAAGGTTGGCTCATTTCTGAAACGTAAACCCAGAAAAAAACCAGAAAAGATATATTACTTTATGTGCCATAACTATTTCACAATGGCTTCTATTTTAAATATAAAATATAATAATTGGTAATAAAACATTACTAGTTTATTCTAGGTTCCACTATTCCACATTTGATCATATTGAATTGCTGTGCCAAGAGTTGTGCAGTCAAAACTCTGTCTATAGAGAAATATACAGACTATGTAGATGGTCAATGCTTTACTTTTGAACTGTACCACAATTTTTAATTATCATTTGATAATGCAATATAATAACTCACTGTTCTTCTGAGGTCCCAGTAACTGTTGCAGTAGACTTTGTCAAGAACCTGGTGTACTGTCTGTAACAGGACTTGTGGTATCGCACCTCCAGAGACACACAACTTTGGATGGGTAAATGCAGAGCACTAATTCCGAATATGGGTCACCAAACTTGGCCACATGTCACTTCACACACTTCACAAGAATGCTAGTGTATTCTTTCATCTCAGCAGCTTTCAGCAACTGGCCTGTAAATAAACATATAAATATAATGAAACAAATTTGTAAATAAAAACCATTATGTAAAAACTGTTAACAGTTAAGCAATATTGAGTGTTCTGGCTGTAGCTGTATGCAAAATGCAAATCTGTAAACATTAATTTACGTAATTGTAATTTAAATTTAGCCATGGTGTCCAGCATATGGCATAAAACTTCTTTGTCAAGAACCTGGTGTACTGTCTGTAACAGGACTTGTGGTATCGCACCTCCAGAGACACACAGTCTTTGTCTTGAATATGCACAAGAATGCTAGTGTCTTCTTTCATCTCAGCAGCTTTCAGCAACTGGCCTGTAAATAAATATATAAACATAATGAAACAAATTTGTAAATAAAAGCCATTATGTAAAAACTGTGTTAACAGTTAAGCAATATTGATTGTTTGTTTACCCACCTGCTGACAATATTTCTGCCTGTGAAAGATGGTCCTTCTGGCGTTTGCCTGCAACAGTAATGCAAATGATGCACCAGGCAGGCAGTACAGGACCTGCACATGCTACTGGCAGGCCCGTCCTGGACCTAAGTTTCTTTGTCGGACATTCAGTTATTGAGGTACTACTACTCGATGACACAGACTGGTCTTTGTGAGCATCTTGAACTTCAGGGCGCTGTATGACACGTTTCTCTGCCGCATCCAAGCGCTTTTTGTCAATGAAACGCCTGTAGCAAGTGGAATGAAACCCAGCGTCTTCGGGAACATTTTCAAACTCGATTTCTATACAATGTTTGTATGTTTCTGCTATTGTCTGATTCTCACCCTGCAAACCAAGCCACCGTTTGACGCTATTTCTGAATGTATCCCATCGTGTGCGTGTAAAATCCTTTGTTTCTTCTTTCTGTATGGACGTGAGATGCATATAGCATTGTTTATAATCCTTTTTACGGAGTTTTGAAGGCGGTCTGGCCGTAATTTCCTCTTCTTCGCTACTCGATATTGACAACAAGGGCGCAGACATCTTGGACTCATGTTTACATGTCGTTCCAAAAAGCGGCCGCCTTATTGGTCGTGCTTCCCACACGTGACGCGAAGTCTAATCACTCATGATCAAAATATGATTACGCGAGTAAGG